TGTTGGTTGTAAAGAGTAAATAGGGTGGGCTTCCCTATGGTCCAGTGGTTGAGAGTCTGCCTGCAAAGCAGGGGACAAGGGGTTCAATCCCTGGTCCTGGAAGATCTCACGTGCCACGGGGCAGCTAAGCCTGTGGGCCACAACTTCTGAAGCCCATGCACCTAGAGCCCGTACTCCACAACTGGAGAAGCCACCACAGTGAGGACCCCTCACACCTACTAGAGAAAGCCCATGGGCAGCATTGAAGACCCAGTGCACCCACAAATAAAATTAAATTTTTAAAAATTGCTTTAAAAAGAGTGAATAGGGCTATTCAACATTATACTGAATTCAGAGGCAGTGTATTCAAGCAAGAAAAAAGGGTAAAAAATTACATAGCAATTACAGAGAAATAAAACATCATTCATAGATGATTTTTTAATGTAAAGAATTCAAAAGAATCTACAGATAAATTGATAGAATAAGATTTTTCAAGGTTGCTGGGTACAAGATGTGTATATAAAAATCAATTATATTCTTTCATACCTGCAAGAAATGACATGTGGAAAAAAAATTTAAATATCTTTCACCAAAGCATAGTGAATATGAAATAAGTTGTAATGAAACTAAGAAATGATGTGCAAGACCTCTACAGAGAAATTATTAATGTACAACTTTACTGAGAAATATTAATAAGGACCTAAATTAATTGAAAGATAACATTTTCTAAGAACAGGCAAGTTCTCTTAAAGTACGACATAAGAGGGCTTGCATCTCCCGCTATCAAGACTGAATATAAAGTAAGAATGTTTAAGATGATGTCCATCAAAAGTAGAATGAATAAATAAGCATTCATATATACATGTATTGGAATACACAGAAGGAACAGGAATACTCTCAAGCAACTCATGGCAGCATGGAAGATGTTTATATACGTAATAATGAGAAAAATAAGCAGAAATAAAAATTGTATGCATTATAATTCCACTAATATAAACTTCAATAGTGGGACCAACTGAACTATATTATTTAGGGGTTTGTACAGTGGTGGTAAAACTATGAAGAAAAACAAAGACTTTTATTATCACAAAAGTCAAAATAATAAATACTTCTGTGGGGAGGGATGGGTTGTGATGAAAGATCTGAGTAGGTGGTAACATCAGTGTTTGTTTTATAGATATTTATTAAACTCAACATCTATTTTAATGTACTTTCTATGTATATATTTCACAATAAAATGGGGATTATTACATTTATTACAAAATATTACTAATTATTAAAAAATGTAATTAAACAGTGTGTTATTATAGAAATGGACAGTTAGGCCAGTGGAACAGAAGAGTCACACATGTATACATTGCATAGTTTGTATCAGATGTGCCACTATAGAAATAGGTTTTTTAAAAATGATGTGGAACAGAATATTTCATATAAATTGAATATTTATATGAAAAAAATTTTTTAGACCCCTACCTCACCCATACACAAAAATCTATTCCTGGCAGATTAAAGACCTAAATATGAAAGACAAAACTGTAAAGACTTTTTTTGAATATTAGAGGAGAATATCTTTATGGACTTGAAGTAGAAAATGTTTCTTAAACAAGGCACAAAAAGCACTAGCCTAAAAGGAAATGACTGCAAAGTTGAATTAAATAAAACTTAAGAACTTCTGTTTATTCAAAGACATGATGGGGACTTCCTTGGTAGTCCAGTGGTTAAGACTCCATCTTCCAATGCAGGGGATGTGGGTTTGATCCCTGGTTGGGGAACTAAGATCCTGTAAGCTGCGGGGCTGCAATGAAGACCCAGTGCAGCCAAAATTAAAAAAAAAAAAATACACAATGAAGATTGAAAAGCAAACCAAAGAACATCCAACAAAGGACTTAAATCTATAATATATATATGAATATATATATATATATTCCTACAAATCTATAAGAAACTACACAATAAGATTGACCATTATTGGTAATAAATGAAGTAGAAGTGGAAATTAACTAACTCATACGCACTGAAATAAAAATTCTGATAGTATCATGTGATAATACAGATGTAAATAATGAGAATTTTCATAGTTTTGGTGGGAATCTAAATTGTACAACCCTTTGGAAAACAGTTTCGCATATTCTGTTAAATGCCCCAGCAGTTATGCTTCAGGGTGTATCATCTCGAGAGAATTTATCCACTTATGCACCTAGAGTCATGTACAAGAATGCACATGGAAGTTTTGTTCATAGAGGCCCCCAAACTGCGAACAAAACAGGAGACTATAAGCCTGTAGACAAAGAGAATGGGGAAATAGCTGCCTGGATCCTGATGGCTATTTAGTTCTGCTTCCAGCCTCTGATGAGGTCCAACTGACCTTTGTCCTCTTTTAATATATTTCCTATTTTGGAAATTCCCTGGTGGTCCAGTGGTTAGGACTCAGTGCTTTCAATGCCGTGAGCCTCAGGTCCAGCTCAGGTCAGAGAACTAAGATCCAGCAAACCATGCTGTTCAGCCAAAATTTTTTTTCCTATTTTGCTAAGCTGATTTGAACTGGTTTTCTGTTACTTGCAGTCAATAGAGACTTGCTTAGGGGAAAAATGTGGAAGGGGAACCATAAATTACAAAAGACTTAAGAGGTGTATCAACTAATGTGAGGACTTCATTTGATGTAAACACAAAGTTTGTTAAAAAAAAAAAAAAAAAGTATAGCAACCATGTAATAGCAAATAACTTTTTTCTTAAAGATCACCCCAAACCTGCCGTACCTCTGGCTCAAGGTCTCTCATAAGGTTTCAGTCAAACTGTCATTCCTCTCAAGGCTCTTCTGAGGCTGCCGGCTCAGCTTCCAGGCCCACTCCTGTTTCCTGGCAGGTTTGGTATTTTCACCATATGGGCGTCTACGTGGCTGCTTGAGTGTCCTCACAACATGGCCTCTGGCAGGAACAACTGACGTGTGAGGCCCAGTGCAAGTTGCAAATGCAGATTCCCTAGTTCAAAAATTATACAGTATTTTAATATGATCAGAGTAGAGCATTAAGCCAAGCATGGAGCCTTCTAAGCCCAAGATACTCTGTGACTGCCTAGGTAACATGCCCTTGAAGTCAACTTTGGCAGCTGGTGACCTGAATGAAAGAGAGAGCCCGAGAGCAGTGAAGACAGAAAACACAGTCTTCTTGCAACCCAGTCTCAAAAGTGACATCTTATCATTTTTGTTGTAGCCTATTTATTATTAATAGAAGTAAGTTATTCCCATATGACCCAGCAATCCCACTCCTGGGCATACACACCACAGAAACCAGAATTGAAAGAGACACGTGTGTCCCAATGCTCATCACAGCACTGTTTGTAATAGCCAGGTTATGGAAGCAACCTAGATGCCCATCAGCAGAAGAATGGATAAGAAAGCTGTGGTACATGTACACAATGAAATATTACTCAGCTATTAAAAAGGATGCATTTGAATCAGTTCTAATGAGGTGGATGAAACTGGAGGCTATTATACAGAGTGAAGTAAGTCAGAAAGAAAAACACCAATACAGTATATTAACACATATATATGGAATTTCAAAAGATGGTAATGATGACCTTATATGCGAGACAGCAAAAGAGACACAGATGTAAAGAACAGACTTTTGGACTCTGTGGAAGAAGGCGAGGGTGGGATGATTTGAAAGAATAGCATTGAATCTTGTATATTATCATATGTGAAACAGATTGCCAGTCCAGGTTCGATGCATGAGACAGGGTGCTCAGGACTGGTGCACTTGGATGACCCTGAGGGATGGGATGGGGAGGGAGGTGGGGGGCGGTTCAGGATGGGGACACATGTACACCCATGGCTGATTCATGTCAATGTATGGCAAAAACCACTACAATATTGTAAAGTAATTAACCTCCATTAAAATAAATGAATTTTTAAAAAAGAAGTGAGTTATTTCACACTTAAGGGGTGAAACTCACTCAAGGACATAAGTACCAATCAGTCATTGTAGATCATCTTACAGGGTGTTTACAAGTACAACTATATTTGAGAAATCAGGGAAATTTGAATATTGAATGTTTGATAATGGTAAAGAACCATTATTAGTTTCTTAGGTGTGATGATGGTATTGTACTTAAAAGAGGGCCTTTTTCTAAAACATATATACTGCAAATATCTACAGATGAAATGACTTAATGTTTTGGATTTGCCTCAAAATAATTATGGGATGGGAGAGGAATGAGGACATTGATGAAACAAGATTGGCCATGAGTTGACTGTCATTGAAGTGGGTGATGGGTGCTTGGGGGTTCATTATACTTTATTTATGTATAGGTTTAAACTTTTCTATTAAAAAAGCCTTGCCTGTTTAGGACAATAAATTTGGCTCACTAGACTCATAATTGATTTCTGATGAGCACACTGGTATGATGTAAATTGAAGAGAGTTGCTCAGGGCAGGAGTTGTGGACTTAAGACATCAAAGGATGACACCATGTAGGTCAGTCCATTTTCCTCAAAATTTCCAAAATCTCACGGTGCTTCTTAGAAAAGAAATTAAGTACTGAAGAAGGAGCTGAAGGAAGATGCTGGAGTGATTGGCATATGAAAGAAAGACAACACATACCAACTTGGAGTCAAGTCAGTTAAGTGTGACAATTCTTGCTTTGCCCTCTAGCTTTATCTCCAACCCTGGAGGATTCCAAGGGCCTTCTTATACTAGACTGAGGGTGAGAATGGTCTGCTTCTGAGCTGTTGAGATTAAAGGTCTTACTGCTTTGATGTTTGCTTTCCATGATTCACATGAAAGGTGTTTAAGCCTATGATTTAGACTTGAAGTGTAAAAACATGTGATAAAATAGGAAGAGAAGCTAGAAATCAAAGCAGATCATAAAAAGTACTAATTAAGGGCTGTATGCCAAAGGATACTGTTACCATATTCAGCTGTGTACATGGGTCATTTTTATTTTAAATATTCTTTACATTTTGTATTTCAGGTGACTTTAAAAAGCCAGGCTACCTTTGCTTACTTAAATTATCTTGCTTTTCAGTCCTGATGCTTGGTTTGCTGGCAAGGCATCTGATTCCTCCTCTCAATGTCTCTTATGCAGCTTTCTGTGCTTCAGTAATTTATGGAATTTTTGGATCATGTCATCAAATGTCCATTGGTGAGTTCAGTGCTAGAATCACAGGAGGTGTATGAAGTCTCCATCTTGATTGTTTACTTATTGCTAAGGAACTCAAGTTAAAGCTATGTTTAACATATAAAGAAAAGAGGCAAAAAATGGATATTCTTTTTTTATAATTTATTCATTTTAATTGGAGGCTAATTAGTTTACAATATTGTGGTGGGTTTTGCCATACATCAGCATGAATCAGTCACAGGGATATTCTATTCACAGGGTTAGTGTTCAGGTTTTAGAAACTGAACACTTTTGTGCTGTTATTAATGTCCCTACCAGACATGAGTTATTAATGTCCCTACCAGGCCCATGAGTTATTAAAGGAATGAAAGGACAAGAGGCGTCTTCCTTGCTGAAATTTCCATACTTTGGAATCTGATTATCCTCAACCAAGAAGATCCAGAAATGATTTTGCCAAAACTCCTGGAATGGATCCACTTTTCAGCTGAACCCATAATAACCATACTCCATGAACCTGATTTATAATAATCATATCAAATTATTAATTTACATTGAGAAAATGTTATCATGGTAATCAAAACACTGAAACCCACAGGGTAAGCACTTTTCTTCCCTGGGTCAAAGATCCATCTGCTAATTTATAATTTGAAATGACTGTCGCAGAGACCAGACCCAACTGAAGGTCCTGTGATCAGCACGATTACTTCCCCTGGGTGAACCTGAGTAGAAATCAAACCACACAATGCCCTGACAGTCTCAGAAGGGCATCGCCAGTGTTCACGAGTCAAGTGCCTTTTTCTGAGCTTCCACGCTGAACAACTGGCCAGGCAACCAACGTTGACCATTCTGACTGGCACTCTTTTTTCTCCAGCTGTGTTTGTATATTCAGTCCAGCTGCCATCCCATTCTGTGGCACGCACCTGTGCCTTTTTAAGGACAATATTCCACATCTTTACTAAAATTTAGTGTCTGTTGATTTTTGCATTTAAACACTAAAACAGCTGTTTTATTCCAATTACTCCAAGTTCTCAGAGCTCATTACAGTCACTTCCAAATACTAATAACAAGGGCTACTAGAGTTTTGCTTCTGTTAGGAATTTAAAGGTAAAATTTGCCTTTGCCTCCCACATTCATGTTGATATGAGAAATAAATAAAATTTTGTTTGAAACAGGTTTAGCTCCATGTCATTTTGCACCTATTACATCCTTCTTAAGTGTTTAGGTATTGTTTTTCTTATTATTATTGATTAGCTTTGTTTTCTGATCCTTTTCCCACCATCTCATTTTTCACCATTTCTACGAACAGGCACAGTAGCTGAGCCAGATATACATTTCCAGTCAGTTTCTCTTTCTTCCTACTCCATATGCCTATTGATACAAAGAGGTTGTTACCTAGGCCAGAAAGATCTAAAATTTCAGAGTTGGTTACAGTATGTGAAACCAGAGAGCTTTTCCCTCCTCTTTCTTACTTCTCAGTGGCCACTTTCAGATAGGAAAAGTTGATCAGATCGACAATGTATGAGACCATGTTTTGCAACATCTGTCAGTTTACCTGGACTTAAAACCTCAGCCTCTGCCTAACCTTTTTCTTTCATAGGTACATTCTTCCTTGTGAGTGCTCTGACAATCAATGTCCTCAGGACACAGCCATTCAACAGTGGCCACTTATTACTGGGAACCTTCATCCAGGATGACTTTTCTAACATGTCCTTCTTTGAGAACTATAACAAATCCTTGAGTTCTGTGGCATCTGTAACTTTGCTGACTGGGATTATTCAGGTAGGTCCTGAGTCTCTGAATCCCTGAAGGAAAAAGAAATAAATAAAGGGGCTGTACGTGAATCCTTTCCTTGAACTGCTTCTGTTACCCATTGTGATATATCTGGAATTTAAGTGATTTTCACTTTTTTCCAAAACTTATGGGACGTATGGATAGACTGACTCCTCAGTGACAAAACTTCTCCCTCCCCAGAAATCCACCACCCCTGGTTGAGGATGAGAGAGCCAACATTCTCCTCAATCTCTACTACTATAAGACAAAAGAAGGGTCCAAATAGGACTTCCCTGGTAGTCCAGTGGTTAGGACTTCACCTTCCAATGCAGGAGGTGCGAGTTCAATCCCTGGTGAGGGAGCTAGGATCCTGCATGCCTCGTGGTCAAAAAACCAAAACCTGAAACAGAAGCAATATTGTAACAAATTCAATAAGGACTTTGATAATGGTCTATATCAAAAGAATCTAAAAATAAGAGAAGGGTCTCAGGGACTGTGGCCTAGAGTTCTACTCATGATTTCATGTTTTAAAAAATTCCTTTATATTCTTTCACCAAGAATAGCACTCATGGGCTCACATAATGTGTGTTTTGTTAGTGGGCATTAGAGTCAGATGTAAAATCCTTTCTCTACAATGACAGGACACAGCTAATGGATGATGATATCAATGATTTGTTAAAATATCCAATGTTATTTTGGGCAGTGTCTTTGATTTCTTCGGAGAATCTACCATCTAAAGCATCACTGACTGAACTAAAGTCATATATTTCAGCTTTATTTCTCTGTCTTCTCAGCTAACCCAACTCTAGCTAACGTTCTCTGATTTCCCCAAAGCCATCCTTTATTAGGTAAAAACTTATTGGGAGCCTACAAAGGCAAGCTATCCTGGTGGGCTGACCCCAGCTCTGACTCTTACCAATTGCATGACTTACTTGCAGGCCTCAGTTTCTTCATGTTTAAAATGGGAATAATAATATTTGTATTGCAGAATTCTTGTAAGGATTAAGTAAGAAAACCTATGCAAAACATTCAGCCCAGAGCCTGTCACATAATAAGTATTAATAAGTTATAATTACAGAGTACAGAGAAAAGAAGTTGGTACTTTAATAGAGACCAAAAAAATTTTTTTCAAGATATAATACCCATATTTTAAAAAGTCAGTCTTGTAGGAGAAGACAGAATAACAGGCATCAAGTCAGCAATCTATTAATTATAAGTAGCCTTGGCATGTTCTTTTTCCTTTTTCCATGTTTGAGCATCACTTTTTTCATATAACAAAGGAGAAGATATTCCATTTACAGGAAGATAGACTATATGTACTTTTCCCTATTCTTCCTCCTAAGAACAACTGAAAAATTTGGAAAGTTATATACAAACCAAACATAAGAAGGCTCTGAAAGGTGGAGAGAAGACAATAAACTGGCTCAGACCCAAGGAACAACACAGTGGAGAGTTCCCTGGGTTTTCTTTTTGCCCTGTACACCTTAGACTTGGTGCAAAAGAAGCCAGAGAGCCAAAATGCCAGTGGGGCAGACCAAAAGAAAAAGTCCCAACAAAAGTCTGTTCTGTATAGCCACAGGAGTAGGAAAGAGTAGCAATTCTGAAAACGTTTACCCAGTAACTGCTCTACTCCAGACAAATACCAAGAAAAAAAACAAAACTCTGTGGTGTTATCCCTACTCATGCCAGTGTGGTGGCCAAGTGGGGAGCCCAGATTTCCACCTTCACCCAGCTGTAATGAGGTAGCTACCCAGGGTGTTGTCAGAGAAGGCCAAGTAGGGAGTCGAGACTTTCATCTCCACTGGATAGTAATGAGCTGCTCTTCCTGCTCCTTGCTGGGGTGTGTCAGAGAAGGCCCAGTGAAGAGTCAGTTCTTTCACCACAACACAGCATTAATGATGACGACCCCCTCTGTAGCAGTGTCAGTGGAGGCCATGCAGGGAGAAATAAAGGCATTTCTGTCTCTCCCAGTCAGGATGGTATCAGTGGAGGCCTAGTGGGGAGCCAGAACGTCCATCTCCTCCCAGTAAAAATGAAGACTCCCTACTGCCTCAGGTGTCAGTGGATTTTAAGAGGAGAACCTGGACTTCTACCTTACCAGGCAGTAACAAGGTAACACCTTCCCCTGTCAGCACTTTATCAAAATAAGGTGGCTAAAACAGAACATTTCAGTAAGATCCAGAATCTTATAGCACAGTACATGAAATGTCAATAGCTGAACTGAAAATAACTTGTCATATCAAGAACCAAGAACATTTCAACTTTAATGAAAAAAGGCAATAAAAAGATGCCAGCACTGAGATGAGAGGGGTTAGAATTATCTGGCATAAATTATAAAGCAGCCATCCTAAAAATGCTTCAGCAACCAATTATGAATATGCTTGAAACAAAGTAAAAAAATAGAAGGTCTCAAAAAGTAAATAGAAGATGTAAAGAAGAACCAAACAAATTTTAGAGCTGAAAAATATATTAACCAAAATTAAAAATTCAAAGAATGGACTCAACAGCAAAATGGAGGAGACAGCGTAAAGAATCAATGAACTTGAAGAAAGAACAACAGAAATTACTCAGTCTGAACAATAGAAAATAGATTGAAAAAAATTTAACATAATCTCAGGGACAAGTGGGACTATAACAGAAGCTCTAACATTTATGTCTCATAAGCATCCCAGAAAGGGAGGGGAAAAAAGATGGGACTGAATTACTTGAAGAACTAATAGCTGAAAGTGCCCCAAATTTGACAGAAGATATACTTCTACAGTTTTAAGAACCTTGGAAAATCCCAAACAAGATAAATCCATAGGAATCCACACCAAGACAAATCATACTCTATGTCTGAAAACTAAAAACAATGAAAAAAATCTTGAAAGCAGTGAGAGAAACACTTTACCTTCAGTGAGAAAATAATTTAAATGACAGCAAATTTCTTATCAGAAACCATGTAGACCAGAAGGAAATTGCACATTTGCTGAAAGAACTGTCAATCCAAAAATCATTATTGTTGTTGTTCAGTTGTATCTGACTGCAGCACACCAGACTTCCCTGTCCTTCACCACCTCCCAGAGCTGCTCAAACTCATATCCATTGAGTCGGTGATGCCATCCAACCATCTCGTCATCTGTCATCCCCTTCTGCTGCCTTCAATCTTTCCCAACATCAGGGTCTTTTCTAACGAGTTGGCTCTTCGCATCAGGTGGCCAAGGTATTGGAGCTTCAGCTTCAGCATCAGTCCTTCCAATAAATATTCAGGATTGATTTCCTTTAGGATGGACTGGTTTGATCTCCTTGCAGTCCTAGGCACTCTCAAGAGTCTTCTCCAACACCAAAGTTCAAAAGCATCAGTTCTTCAACACTCAAGTCTTCTATATGGTCCAACTCTCACATCCATACATGCCTACCGGAAAAACCATAGCTTTGACTAGATGGACCTTTGTTGGCAAAGTAACATCTCTGCTTTTTAATCGCTATCTAGGTTTGTCATAGCTTTTCTTCCAAGGAGCAAGTGTCATGGCTGCAGTCACCATCTGCAGTGATTTTTTTTTTTTAATGCAGTGATTTTGGAGCCCAAGAAAGTAAAGTCTGTCACTGTTTCCATTGTTTCCCCATCTATTTTCCATGAAGTGATGGGACTGGATGCCATGATCTTATTTTATTTGAATTTTGAGTTTTAAGCCAGCTTTTTCACTCTTGTTTTTTACCTTCATCAAGAGGTTCTTTAGTTCCTCTTCACTTTCTGCCATAAGGGTGGTGCCATCTACATATCTGAGGTTATTGATATTTCTCTTGGCAATTTTGATTCCAGCTTGTACTTCATCCAGCCCAGCATTTCTGAAAAAAGCCTTCAAGAATGAAGGAGAAATCAAGACATACTCATATGAAGGAGAACTAAGAGAATTTATCACCAGCAAGACCTACCCTAAAAGAATGGCTAAAAGAAGTTCTCTAAACAGAAAGGAAATGATAAAAGAAGGCATCTTGGAACATCTAGTAGGAAGAAAGAACAATGGAAAAGGGAAAACATGGATAGATATGGTAGTTTTCTTTGTTTTCTTAAGTTTTCTAAATATGTCAATGGTTGAAGCAAAAATTATATCACTGATGTGGTTCAAAATGCATATGGAAGAAATATTTAAAACCATTCTTTTATAAACAAACATAATGGGAGGTAAATTTTCTATAATTTGCTCAAACTGGTAAAATGTTTACATCAGTGGACTGTGATAAGTTATGTATATATAATGTAATACCTAGGATAATCACTTCAAAACCTATACACTCAAAAATGCTATAGATAAATAAAAATGAAATTCTAAAAAATGTTCAAGTAATGTGTGAAATCAGAAAAAATAAAAAGATGAAAAGTAGAGCAAACAGGATCAATGGAACAAAATAGAAAGCCCAGAAATAAATCCACATACCTACAGACACCTTATCTTCGACAAAGGAGGCAAGAATATATAATGGAAAAAAGACAACCTCTTTAACAAGTGGTGCTGGGAAAACTGGTCAACCACTTGTAAAAGAATGAAACTAGAACACTTTCTAACACCGTACACAAAAATAAACTCAAAATGGATTAAAGATCTAAATGTAAGACCAGAAGCTATAAAACTCCTAGAGGAGAACATAGGCGAAACAGTCTCCAACATGAATCACAGCAGGATCCTCTATGACCCACCTCCCAGAATATTGGAAATAAAAGCAAAAATAAATAAGTGGGACCTAATGAAAATTAATAGCTTTTGCACAACAAAGGAAACTATAAGCAAGGTGAAAAGACAGCCTTCAGAATGGGAGAAAATAATAACAAACGAAGAAACAGACAAAGGATTAATGTCAAAAATATACAAGCAACTCCTGCAGCTCAATTCCAGAAAAATAAATGACCCAATCAAAAAATGGGCCAAAGAACTAAACAGATATTTCTCCAAAGAAGACATACAGATGGCTAACAAACACATGAAAAGATGCTCAACATCACTCATCATCAGAGAAATGCAAATCAAAAC